ATGCATCCTCGCCCACCGTCCCCAAACTGCCTCTGGCCCAAAGGGTGATGGAAAGTTCCAAAGTGCTTCCACTAACCCTGAGGACCGGCAAGCAGATATCCTTGTTTAACCAAGGCTTCTTCGAGCCCCACATCAAGGAAAACCGCCAACACTTTATTGTTAGTGACATTTAATAAGACAGCACAGTGGAGTCTGTTAAATATCACACGGGTGATGTACGAGGCCTGCCACTAGGTGTGCCTCACTGCAAATCAATGCACTTGCTTTAATGTAGTGCCCGGTTAGGTCGGCTCTGGCAGAGCTGCCCCCCCAAGAATCCTGGGCCAAGATTCACTCGGCGAGAGGCCAGGGCATGACAGGGCCAACTCGCTGAGCAAGAGCAGGGACCATGGGGGCCGGGCAGGCCTGGATAATTCAGCACCGGGCGCCAAAGCACTGCAGCATAGGGCATATTCCTGGGAGGTGCTCAGGGATGAAAGCCTCTTTTCCCAAGAGTCCAAAGCCCAGAGAGGCTTCCCCATGAGGCTCCATCAAGACCAGCTTTGTTCATCAAAGTATCCAGGAAAGGGAGGTGGCTTGCAGGTCTTCAATTCCTGCTCCAAACACCATGCCATTGGGGTCTCCCATTCTCACGGTAAAGATTTCCACCTGTGGCACCACTCTGGAGGGTAGGATCCTGCAGGAAGCCCAACCCAGGAAAGAAAGAAGAGCACCCTGCCTGTGCACAGTGGAGAACCAAGCTTCCTGCCCTCCAGACGCCCCTCTTGAGCCACCCGTTACCTCCTGGTGCTGAGATTGGGCACCCACAGGAGAGCCTGGGCACGTGCATGGATGCTGGGGAAAGCAACACGTGGGTCTCCTTCCAGGCGAGCCCCTGGGAAGAGCTGGCAAGAAGCGCCCTTCAAATCCACCCTCCCACACCACCTGTCCTGGTGAAGCTTCTCTGGCCATTTCCTCCTACACCAAGAGCTCAGCTCTCCAGGAATATAACCTCAAGTGGGGAGGGTAGAAGCAGAGGGAGAAGGCAGACTGGAAAACTACTTTGAGAGAATCAGAGCCATAGACCTGGTAGAATTGGGGTGTCCCTGCTGACGACCTGGTGGAGCAGCCTTATTGGATCAATGGAGAAACCAGTGGCCCTAGGAGTAAAATGGCCCATGCAGGACCACTCAGGAAACCCCAGGCAGAATGAGGAGACAAGGCAGGTCTGCTGACGCTCGGGCACCTTGGCAACCGCCTCCATCCACCACCCATCATCTCTGCACATCGCACCCTCTGTTGCTCCCTGGTGCATGTGTCCACGCACCCACCTCAAGCCTCAACTCTGAGTCCTGGGCAAAGTTCCCTAAAGGACACCTCACCATGCTGTAATCTCCCCTAAGGCTCCTGCCAGACTCAGCCTAAATGCAGGTTGCATCCTCATTCCTTCCCTCCCTCTTGGGACCATATTTAAATTTGCATGTTGATGGGTGTGTTGGGGTGGGGGAGCTGGGGAGAGATGCGCTGGAGGAACACCCTGCTTCAAGGCCAGAAGGTCAGAAGGTTCAACCCATCAAGCCACATCCTGGAGCAACCAGAACTTTCTCATGACCCCAGGCCTCCCAAAGTCAGCCAGGACCCAGGTCAATAATCCAGACACTGCACTGTCCGTGGGCCCTGGGGCTGCCACCGTTTAAATCTCTCTCCCAGGGCAGGGAGCTGATCTGCCAGGCTCAGCCCCTCTCAGCTGCTGGGACTCCTCAGTCTTGACCTTTTCAGTCTTGTTTAAATAGCCTTTCTGGTTGGGAAGTTTATCACCCAATTTCTCAGTTCCTGGCTTCCCCCATTTCCAGAAAAACAAACAAAAAAAGAAAAAAACAAACAAACAAACAAAAAAATCCCTTCTGGCTCTTTAAACAGGTACAGATGTTCTCCAAGGCACCAAACTCCCTCTGCTCCAAACTCTCCCATCTCACACAGGGCCCCAGACCCATTAGGAGTCATGCCCTAATATCTCTCCTTCCTTAAAACAATACTAACACAACGGGTGCTGGTGTCCCTGTCTCTGCCCAAGATGCCTTGTTCAGACATCCGAGCGGCTTGACTCCCAGGGCCTGCTGCCAGCCCCTACAGCCATCCGGCCTTCTGGGTGTTATGTCCACCCTCATGCTTGGGGACCTGAGCTTAGACTCACACTGGTCCTTTCCGATCCCTCTGAGGCCCAGTTCCTCGTCTGCACTCTGCTCTGTCACTCCACGCAGCTGCGTGTGATGCAGCCCCCAAAGGTCGTCGTAGCACTGGGGACAAGCAGAGACGATGCCTCGGCCTAAGAACTAGCATGTTCCGTGTTCCTTCTACCACGCGCGAGCACGTGTGTGGCCCACCAAGCCTCCCCTTCATCCTGCCACCAGGAAGCTCAGGGCTCAGGCTCAGCAACCTGCCACACCGCAGGGTCCCCGCGTTTGCTCCCGACGTCTTTCTAGGGCTCTCCTTTCTCCTGCTGAGTTTCGTGCTCCTGTGGCTGTGTGCTGAGTTTTAAGGCGATAAGGCGTATTTTTTCAAGTAAGCAGAAGAGAAAAGCCCACCTTCTTCACAGAGCTTTCCCTGAACCCTGCAGCTAGCTCTGGGATCAGTCCCTTCTCTGAACTGCAGCAGAGCTTGTTTTCCAAACCAAAGTAGCACTTCCCCTTCGGTGCACACGCAGCCTGGCTCTCCCACATTAAAAAGAAGCCATCCCACCCCAGGTCCCTCTGCAGTCCAGGCCCTGGCCTCATCATAACTTCTGAAGGTACCCAACGCGTTGACTTCCACATCCCTGCCTGGCCAGACCCACCGCAATCTGACTTCCACCATCCGCACGCGCAAGCGCATCCGCACACGCATGCGCACCCGCACACGCATGCGCACATGGGCACGCAGACGCATGCGCACTCAGGGGGGCACCACAGCTCGATTCCCCGCCCCTCTGGGCTCACTCTCCCCATCTGTCCTGCACCCTCCCTGACCTCCCTGCCTCACACTCCACTTCCTTTGCCCCTCGCGTAAGTACTGGTGTTTCTAGGAGAGTTCTGCCCTCCCTGCCCATCCAGTGGCTTTACCCATCACCCACACACTGAGGATGCCCAACTCTGCAGGCGTCTCCACCCTAGAGTCCCTCATGCGCTCCACCACCCCTTCCAGCGCCATCTCACGCACCGCTGTGGCTTTAATCACCAACGAGGCGCCAAAAAACCCCAAACCCAACCCCCCCCTCCAGCCTCAATACTCATCTCCAGACCACAAGTCCAAGTGCCTCCCAGATGTTGTCATGGGGGTGGCAATGGTCCCCAGGCACCTCACATGCTCCATGTCCAACACCACCCACACTGAACGGCTTCATCATCCCGGAGTCACTCAACTAGGACAAATGGCAGTCACCATCCATTTACCCATTCAAGTGATGCTCACCATGTACCTGGCTCTGTGTGTAGGACGGGGTGTACAGTAAACAAACAGAAAGGGCTCTTGCCTGCAGGAGACATTCAGCCAGTCACTCTATGCAGTCTACTTCCCAATCTTCTCTCAAACAACCCACTGTTCTCCATCCCCACAGCCAGTATCTTAGTGCAGGGCATAAGCCACACTGGAAAGAAAGCCGTATAGCCCGAATCCCAGCTCTGAAATGTATGGCTGTGCGACCTTAGGCAGTTCCTCCCTCTGTACCTTGCCAGATGTTTCCTCATTGGCAGGTAAAGATAATAGTACCCCCTAATAGCATTGTTGCAAGGACCAAATGAGACATGAAGCCTCTAGAACAGTGTCCAGAACATGGTAGCCACCCTATACGCACCTGCACCTGTTACACTCCCCGTTTCCTGGCAGCCTCCTCTCTGGCTCCCCCTGCCCCTGTTGTAGCCCCCTCCATGTGCGCCCCCCACCTGCAGTTCCCATCACCCCAGCTCTCTGCCCTCTCCAGCCTGTGCCATGCTTTTCCGGCCAACTCATTCCCTGGCTTTCTCTTTCTGGTTTCCCAAGGCTCAGCTTTTAAGCCCCCTCCCCTGAACCCCAGTCTGCAGCAGATGCCCTCCCCTGTGCTCCCTCCGGCAGGAGCCCACAGCCTTGTCCCACTAAGCCGGGTCACTCTCCCCTGGTCTGTGTCCCTGCTGGCCTGGGTGCTCCTTGGAGAGCATCGCATTCGTCTCTGTGAGCCCAGACCTCAGGACCAAGCGCTGCACACAAGAAGAGCTCAACAAATACTTAACAAACAAACGAAAACATTAGAATTACTAAGAGCCAAATTTCAACTCACTATAACCATAAAATTTAAAAAACTTCTTCCTAATAATGAGGCTACACTTACTAAGCATTTACTATATTCCAGGCTCTGTGCTAAACTTCAGACGCACGTCATGTAATCTAACACTCACAACAACCCTGTGCTGTGGGTACTTTCATTCCTGTTTTACAGGTGAAGGCATAGAGGCTGGGGAAAATTTTTAAAACCCACTCAAGGTTACACAGCTAGTAAATAAAGTCAGGCTTCAAACCCAGGACTGTCAGACTCCAGAGCCGATTCCTCACTCAACACTGCCCTGGTTCAGATCTCGGTTCAGAATGCACTGGCTCTGTGATTGACAAGAGCACCTTCCCTCATAGCCACATGGCCTCTGCTGGGATTCCAAGGCTCTAGGAGTCCATGATTTTAAATTATAGGTTCCTTGGGGGTGTTCATCTTGGTTTCCCTACAACAGGAGGCTGGGCACAGAGTCAGCCAATGATAAACCTGTGCTGAATGAATGAATGAATGAATAAGTGGACCGATGGATGAATGGATGAAGCAATGAAATGAATGAATGAAATGAATGGGTGACGATTCATTCTGCACATGTCCAAGTCAGTTTCAACCTTTTTGACACCCTTTCTGCTGGGTTCAGGGTCCTAAGCCAATGGACCCCAGGAAAGCAGAGAAGGGGGACACCAGCCTGGCCTTGCGAGCACCCTCCTGCCGGCAGCCCCCAGAGCTGCAGCAGCATCACTCTTACCGGCACAGGTGGTCAGTCCGGCACACACTGCGGAGGTCCAGGCAGTTGGGCTTCTCCTTGTCCTCGTAGGAGCATCTGGGCAGGATGGTTTGCCGGCGGCGCTCGGCGCACGCCTGGTCTTGGCAGGAGCAGAAGAGCATGCGGTAGGTGTACTCGCTGGGCACCCGGTCGAAGAACTGCCGCAGGGCCTTGTGGCACTTGCGGCGGTTACAGCGCTCAGTGGGCGAGATCTCGCGGTTGCAGATGGAGATGTAGGAAGAGCGCAGCTTCTTGCAGTTGTCGTTCAGGTTGCAGGCCTTGGCAGCATCCAGGCAGTGGTTGCTCCTGGTGCTGACCACCGGGTCTGCCCCTGTCCCTGCAGGAGGAAGGAGAGAGCAGGTCAGAGGCCACGGCCTCCCTGTGGGAGGACACAACTGCCCACTCGCTGAGAGACATCTCCCAGCACTCAATATGCTTTCTTGTGCCTGCTCTTTGCCTCAGTTTCCCCATCTGTGAAACGGGGATCACTTAAGAGGACCTACCTCCTGAAGTAGATTGTGGTGAGGATTGAAGGAGTTAATACGCAGGTTCATAAAGCACTTGGGACACGCCTGGTATGGGGTGAGCTGTACATATGGTGAGCTGTTACCACGACGATTATTAATCCAAGGTCTTAATAAAACTCGTCACAGTCTGGGAACAGCCTGCAATCCCAGCACTTTGGGAGGGCAAAGTGAAAGGATCACTTGAGGCCAGGAGTTCGAGATCAGCCTGGGCAACATTTCGAGACCCCTGCCTCTACAAAAACGAAAAAATATTAACCTGGTGTTGTGGTGTGCACCTGTAGTCCCAGCTACGCAGGAGGCTGAGCAGAGAGGATCACTTAAGCCCAGGAGTTTGTTACAGTCAGCTATGATTGTGCCACTGCACTCCAGCCTGGGTGACAGAGTGAGACCCTGTCTCTAAAAATTAATACATAAATAAATAATAAATAAATAAAACTTATCACAGGCCTTAATCTGTCATGAGAGTTTTAAGGGGAAAAAAAAAACTATCACAAGCCTAAAAGGTAAAAAGCTAGGTGTGCATGGCCCTGTGTACAAATGAGGGAGATAAGTGACTGGCTCAAAGTCACCCAAGGGAAGCTGAACCAAGACCGGCCCCGGGGCCCCTGAGCACCCCGCAGCAACGCATTGGTGTTCAGGATGGGACAAGTCTCATTATGGGGTCCTTCAGTGACCAGGGTACAAATGGCACACATGTGCCCTCCTGAGCCATTCTGGCAAGAGCCAGCTAACTCAATCTCTTTATTTTACAGATAAGGAAACTGAGGCACTGAGTGGGCAGCGGGTCTGCCCAGGTCACCCAGTGCACTGGCAGCAAACCACAGCAGGAGCCCTGATCATACCCAGCAGCCCAGCATGCCGGGGACAGCCGTCAGCTTAGGGTTTAGGATGAGCCGTGGCCTTCTCATCCATTCTTCATCCACCCTAACAATGCTTTCCAATATCTCTTGAGCACCACGCTCTCCACGCAAGGCCCCGTGGCGTGGTGGGCAGGACTCAGGGTGCAGCAGACAGAGGCCACGCTTCCCTCCCCAGGGTGGGCAGTGGACGAGCGCTTCTGGCACTGGGTCATTGAAGGTCAACCAAGTCCCACCTCTGCACAGCCCCTGCTAGGCCCCGTGTTGGATATAAAGGCAGGAGAGGAGGCCCCACTCTGGAAGAGCTCCCAGCTCCAGCTAGGAAGCCAAGGGGCAGAACAGCACAGTGAGTCAAGCTGAGCGTTCTGGGACTGAACCATCAGCGTTCAGCTCCTGGCCCTGCTACTTATTAGCCTTGTGACCTTGGGCAAGTGACTGAACCATTCTTTGCCTCAGTTTCCTTATCTGTAAAGTAGTACCTACCGCACAGGGACATTGTGGACATGACCGAGACAGCTTATTTTTTCTCTCTCCCCTGCATCATGACTGTGCCCTGTCTTCTAGATCATTCCCATCAGCTACTGCATCACCCATCATTAATTTTCAAAAAGCCCTTCCCGGGATCATGCACACCCCTTAAGCTCCTAACCCAGCTGTCTGCTCCCTTTGAAAGCAAAACTCCTCAAACGAGTTGTCTCTACCAGCTATGTCCTCTTCTTCTGCTCCCTCTTGGACCCACTTTGCCTGGCACCCACCCACCTCTCCCACCAGGGCTCAGAATCCTCAGGCCTCATCTTCTCAGCCCATCAGCTGCCCTGGGCACAGCCGATCCCTCCCCCCGCCGCTTCTGAACCCCCTTCCACCCTCCACAGGGCTCCTTGAGGCCTCCCCGCACTCTCTCACTCAGCCCACTTTGCTGGTTCCATCTTCCCTACCCAGGGCTCAGCCTCCTCTTCCCCACGTGTACCTGCTCACTGGGGCCCTCAGCTCACCTCGTGGCCTGAAACACCATCAGATGTATACCCCCTGCCAGACCTCCCCCCAGAGCCCCAGACCCGTTGGTCCAGATGGCTGCTCGACAACTCCAGCTCCAAGCCCAATGCCTGCATCTCACACGTAACACGTCCAAAACCAAACCCCAGATTTTCCCCCAAAGGCTTCCCTCCACCCCTGACAGTCACCCTCATCCTGTGGAAAACAGGTGCACCCTTCTAGAAGCTCAAGCCCAAACTCTTGGAGCTCCCTTGACTCCTCTCTCATTCACACATCATCCCAAGAAAACCTGGCAGTTCTACCTTCAGAATATATCCAGAATCCAGCCACTCCTCACCACCTCCACTGCAACCACCGTGGGCCAAGCTGCCAACACTGTGTGCCTAGGAAGAGCCTCCTTCTGGGCCTCCCTGTTCTGCCTGTGCCCCCACGCCCCGCCCACGACAATCTTCTCTCATCACAGCAGCCGCAGTGAACCTCCTAGAACCTAAGGCAGCAGCTGTTGCTCTCGGGCCCCAGAGCACCCATTGGCTTCCTCATCTCATTCAGGCTCCATCCAATATGGTGGCCGCCAGCCACACTTGACCACTGAGCCGGAAACGTGGCTAGTACATTTCAAATGTGCATACAAGATTTTAAAATACATACCAGATTTTGACAACTTCATAAGAAAAAAATAATGTAAAGTATGTCATTAATAATTGTTTACTTTGATTAAATGTTGCAGGGATAATATCTTGGATATATGCTATTTAAAAAATGTAGTATTGGCCGGGCGCGGTGACTCATGCCTGTAATCCTGGCACTCTGGGAGTCCGAGGCAGGCAGATCGTTCTGAGCTCAGGAGTTCGAGACCAGCCTGAGCAAGAGCGAGACCCCGTCTCTACCAAAAAATGGAAAGAAATTAATTGGACAGCTAAAAAATATATATAGAAAAAATTAGCCGGGCATGGTGGCGCGTGCCTGTAGTCCCAGCTACCCGGGAAGCTGAAGCAGGAGGATCGCTTGAGCCCAGGAGTTTGAGGTTGCTGTGAGCTAGGCTGACGCCATGGCACTCGCCCCAGGCAAGAGAGTGAGACTCTTTCTCAAAAAAAAAAAAAAAAATGTAGTATTAAAATTAATTTCATCTATTTCTTTTTACTTTTTTAAATGTGACTGCTAAAATATTTAGAATTACATGTGTCAGGGATGTGTACTATATAATTCTAGGAGCCTGCGCTGCCCTGTACGACCTCACCTCCAACCCCTTTTCCCAAGCTCACTACTCCATTCCAGCCACACCTGCCTCGTTAATCTTCCCTGGAACATGCCAATCATGGCCTGGCCTCAGGGCCTTTGCACTTGCTGTTCCCGTGGCCTCTCTCCCGCCCCCATGACCACACTGCAACTTTCCTCATTCCCTTCAGGTCCCTGCTCCAATGTTACCTTGTATGTCAGTCCTTCCTGACCATTCTGCAAACAATAACCCCACACACGCTCCATTTGCCCCTACTCTGATCTGTGTTTCCTACAGCACTCAGCACCATCTGCCATAGTATGTGCTTACTTACTCGAGTGTTCGTTTGGATCAAATACAAGCTCCAGGAAGGCAGGGCTGTGTCGGCTGTGCTCACTGCTGGGCCCCAGATCCCCAGTGTTTGATACTCGGGTGCTAAGTAGGCATTTGATGAGGGAGAGAATGAAATGTACTTGGACCAGCGTCTACGTTATCATAAATGCTCAAAGAACGGTGGCTAATATCATTAAGGAGGCGCAACTGGCACAGAGTAGGTGACAGTAGCCGACACAAGCACATGTGGGGCCAGCCCAGAGGGGCTCAGAACTGAAAGTCGGGGGTGACTGATGAAGGCTAAGCCGCTCACCCCAACACCGTGTCTGGCCAACAACAGCAGAAATAGCGAAGGGCCCCTCTTCTTGTCGTAAAAGTAAAAGCAGGGTGTGGGCACATCCAGAGAATCAAATACTACTATTCAGTGACGATAGCAGAGGAGCCATCAAGCCACAAAAAGACATGGCAGAGCCTGGCAGGAGAGAAGCCACACATCATCCCGCGTGATCCAACTACGCCATCTGGGCGAGGGAGAACCACGGAGACGGTAAGATCGGTGGTTGTCGGGAGCTAGCGGGGAGGGAGGGATACGCAGGCAGAGTGCAGAAGTTTTTAGGGCAGTGGAACCGCTCTGTGTGATACTGTAGCGGAGGATACATGTCACCACGCATTTGTCCAAACCCCACGAGTCTGCACCACCAAGCGTGAACCCTCCCGTAAACTATGGACTTTGGGTGACAACTGTGTGTCAAGGCAGGTTCATCCATTGTACCAAATGCACCACTCTGCGGGGAGGTGATGATAGTGGGGGAGGCGGCGGCAGGGGGGAGGTGGGAACTCTCTGTACCTTCCTCTCAATTTTGCTGTGAACCTAAAACTGCTCTAAAAAAAAAATAAGCCTTTTTTTAAAAAGGAGTTGGGGGAAATTAGGCAGAAAGAGATTCAAGGTTTGTTTTCCTCGTCAATCAATGAACGTATTTTTACTGAGGGCCTATGACATGCCAGGCACTTGCCCAGACACTGAGGCTGCAGCCGAGCCAATGTGGGTTCTGGGTGAGGAAGTCGGGGTGCAGAGAGGTAGGCATGCTGCCCAGACCTGGGGGTCGTGGAAGCAGCAACGTCTCTGCTGAAACCTACCGGATGAGTCAGAGGAAGGGAAGACAGCGGAAAGGGGGTGGCGGGCAGTGGGGAGCAGGGACAAGGCTAGGAGGAACTGCAAGCTATTCAGTTGCCTGGAGGCGGAAACCAAGAAAGGCGGTGCCCAGAGAGGACGCTGGAGCACTAAGCAAGAGCCTACAGCCACGCTGGGGCTTTTGGTCTCCCAAGCAATTGCCTGAGCTGCTATCAAACCTTTCTGCCTGGGCCAGAAGGCCCCCAGGACGCTTGTCAACACAAAGGCTGTTGTGGGGAC